GGAGACCTACTTGTCTCTCACCACAGGTGACCAAGGCTCCATAACTTTTGCCTCAAGCTATTGGGATAGAGGCCTTTTCCTTGATTCCAGGCACATCCAACTCCCTGAAGTCTACTTTACATACCATTTTCCCATTCCTTGCATAATATTCATAACTAAGGTGGAACAGCATCCACCACTCAATTATTTATTAAGGGGCTGGAACCCTTAATTGGTATCCTCTCAATCTAATATATAGCCCAGTTCATAATAAGCTCAGTGTCACACAGATTAAATGTTATTGAGGTAAAATTGACATATAGAAGTATTTTAAAACCCATTATGTCTCAAGGGGTCTACTAGAATGCTGAGAATATCACACAAGTTATATATGGATTTGTTGAGTAAATAAGTGAATGAATCAATGAATAAATCAATGAAATATAAAAAGGTCTTTATCTCATAGGGCAGCAAGTTGGTACTTAAAGATGTTTTGATAATTACTGCTATTACGTAGACAGAAGAGGTGGCTATGGTATCAAGGACAGTGAGGAACATCCATGGGTGGATCAGGTCATTGAAATCAAACAAAACTATAGCTATAATTGTGCTCTGATCCAGACTAGAAGAGAGGTCATCAATCTAGCATCACACGGTAGTAGACATTTTTTAATGAACGTAAGCCTTGAATTACATTGTATTTTCCTACTTTGTTTTTAAAAACTGACACAATCCGGAACTCTTGGGTGGCTTAGTAGTTGAGTGTCTGCCTTCAGCTCAGGGCCTGATCCCAGAATCCGGGATCGAGTCCCACATCGGCCTCCCTGCAAGGAGCCTGTTTCTCCCTCTGCCTATGCCTCTGTCCCTCTCTCTGTGTCTCTCATGAATAAATAAATAAATCTTTAAAAAATAAAAAAAAAATAAAAACTGACACAATCCAATTTTCTTTTTAAAATCCTCTTGGAAATGTAAGAAACTCACAAATGTCAACTAAACAAACATCCCTGATTGAAATTTTCCTTCCTGAACACTCATTGAGGATTATGTGTTTAAGGGTTTTTTATAACTTATTCTGCATAACCTTGAAGAGTCTCTTCATCCTTTAGCTGATTAAAAATATTTTTCACAGCCCGTAAAGCAAGATATGACTCTATGCTATGTGTATTTAATAGAGGAAATATGCTTTATGTGCTCCATTAAGTCGTTTGGGAAATTGCATTAGTGCCATGCCATTAGTATACCTCTTCCAGATACATCTGTGGCCCTCTCTTGACAGGTAAATTAACAGTTTCATCAATCTACTCAGAGATTCATAATGACCTTATAATCCAAAGAAAAATACCCACCTTATCAGGAATTACAAAAGAAATCAAACATATTTTCCAATAGAACACGAGAGAAATGAATGTGACAATGTATCTGACTTCATGATAGATGATAATGATCTATTTCAGAAACATTATTAAATTATATCCATTTATGAGGCTACAAAATCAAACTATAATAAGGAACAGACATAGATAATAAGAAGATTGATGTTTAAAATGTAGTGGTGTTTTTAAGATGCAAAAAAAACTTATTATATGAAAATCATAACCTGTTCCATATTACTAAATATTGACAGTATGCACAAAGCAATTGCTGTTTCTTAAAAAAATACAGCATTCCTAATTCTAATCTTTTGCTATGCTATGAAAAGATAGCATTGTAGCAAAATTGCATCATCTTTAACTCCCTTGTTCAATGTTTTTAATATGATTCATTATTTAATATTTTAGAGATAAATTTAAGAGGTCACTTCCCACTTTCCTTTAGTTTTTGGTTCTTTGCTTTTTCAACATTTACTGTTAGTGTATACTGCTTTCATAACAACAACTTAAGGCAGAAGTAATATTTTCCAATTTGCCATTGCCTTAAATTCTCTGCCCTGTCTCCACTATTTTTACCAATCTCATCCTACTCCCATGTCACAATTTGTGTTTTGGTAATTCTGGATTGACTGCTGTAAAAATAAACATCATCGTCATTCCCTCTGTCCACCCTAGCCCTAAGTGCCCTCTTCTTTCTGTAAAATTGTAACAACACTTAATGTTGATTCATTTCATAAATACCACTGGGCACTGTAAGAAATAATTTCATATATGCATCTCTTACTATTCCAACCAGAAGGTAAATTATTTGGGGACAGTAAATAAAATGGTTAATGGTTGGGCTCTAGTATCACACAGGCTTGAGGTCAAATCCTGGGTCTGTCATTTATTAGTTGTGTAACCATGAACTAGATACTTTACCTCTCCAGATCTCAGTGTCCTCATTTGTGAAATGAGGATGACATCAGTGCCTATACATGAAGGCTATGGTATCCCCTGACCCATGGTATTTATCACTCCGTTGTGCATGTAGATCAAAAATTATAGAAATTTGTGGTTGGCAAAAGAAATTCTCTTCAGTGTATCCTTCAAAATATATTGATTGAAAATTTATATTCTAGGAAATAAGTTAATTCTTATTTTTAAATTGTATACAAAATTGAGTTTCCATCTCATGGGCCTTAAGACCACTAATGAATCAGGCCCCCCAGAAGACATGCTCAGAGTATTGTTTCAAGAGCCAGACTACCTGTGTTTAAATCTCACTTCTGCTGTTCACTATGTGTGAGACACAGAATAATTTGCCTAAATTGTTTCGGCCTTGGTTTTCTCATCTGTAAAACGAAGATGGTAATAATTATATGTACAACACAGGGTTATTGCAGGAAATAAATGAGTTAATGAATAGGAGTCATTGGAACAGCACCTAGTACAAATCAATTACTGCTAGATTTTTGGCACTCTTTCAAATATCCTGAATTCTTAATTTTACATCATCATGAAATTTTTTAAAAGGCTAGTTTATACAGAAAAATTATTGTGGGAAATTTCATAGAAGTGGTGATACTCAAGGAATGCCATCCCCATCTGTAGCTCCAGGAAAATCACTGAGTGGCCAAACATTTAAAAGTCTATTCCTAAATTCTATTTTCAGTTAATTCCAATCTCTATACATTTTTCAGAGTGATACTAAGCAATATTTTTATCAGTTGCTGTACGAACATGAGAATTATCATACCAAATTATATTTATGGTCCATTCATTCTCTATGAGCCAAATCAAAAACCACCACTTACAAGAATCTCAATATGCCAGCTAGTGTCCTTTTAGAGATTAAAGAGAACTTTAATACCTATAACAGAGATAGGAAACCATAGTCTCTAGCTAAATCCAGCTATAGGCCTATTTTTGTACAGACTATGTGTTAAGAGTAGTTTTTATATTTTTTAAAAAGGATTTTAGGGATGCCTGGGTGGCTCAGTGGTTGGGCAACTGCCTTTGGCTCACGGTGTGATCCTAGACTCCAGAGATCGAGTCCCGCATTGGGCTTCTTGCATGGAGCCTGCTTCTCCTCCCTCTGCCTGTGTCTCTGCCTCTCTCTGTGTGTCTCTCATGAATAATAAATAACAAATAAATATTTATATATTTATTATTGAGTCACCCAGGTGCCCCAAGTAGTTTTTATATTTTTAAAGAGTTATAAATAAGAATAATGAATTTCTGGGATACCTGGGTGGCTCAGCAGTTGAGCATCTGCCTTTGGCTCAGGGCATGATACCAGAGTTCCTGGATTGAGTCCCACGTCCAGCTCCCTGAGAGGAACATTCTTCTCCCTCTGCCTGTGTCTCTGCCTCTCTCTCTGTGTCTCTCATGAATAAATAAATAAATAAAATCTTAAAAAAAAAGAATAAAGAATTTGTGAAAGAGATCATACATGGTCTACAAATCTAAAATATTTACTATGTATTCCTTTATAGAAAAAACTTTGCTAACCACTGATCGATCTATCATCTTGATTTGGTACTTAATCACACACTGTCGGGATCCCTGGGTGGCACAGCGGTTTGGCGCCTGCCTTTGGCCCAGGGCCCGATCCTGGAGACCCAGGATCGAATCCCACATCGGGCTCCTGGTGCATGGAGCCTGCTTCTCCCTCTGCCTGTGTCTCTGCCTCTCTCTCTCTCTCTGTGTGACTATCATAAATAAATAAAAATTTAAAAAAATATATTCAAAAAAAATCACACACTGTCTACAAACAGTAGACCAATCTGTGTTCACTATTACTGAAAACTAATAATTATATCATCATTATTACATGTTTTCAGTGTTTCAAGCAATATGCTAAGTATTTAACCACATTACATTGTGTTTCATTATAGCCCTATGGGGTAGGTAATATTAATTTCCTAATTTTATAGATGAGAAAACTAAGATTGATAGTAATATGTACCATGCCAAAATCAGATGGTTAGTCGGTATTTGAACTTAAATCTATCTTACTCAAAAGCTCATGCTTTTTCTTCTTTGGCCAACTGCTACTTTTTGTTCTCTTCAGTCAATTACGTTATGTGTATGTGCCTATAAGCCTAGATCATACACAATTTAAAGGCAATGACTATGTGTATCCCACAACAGAGAATTGTACATACACAATGACCACTGAATAAATATTCACCAAATGCAAAAATAAACGGATATAGCTTCATATTTAACCTTTTACAGGACAACTGAGGGATGTTAAAAAATATAATCATATATTCATAAATTAGGGATGTATCTTAAAACTTCATAGCTTCCCCCAAATATCCAAATAGATCTTTGTATTTAGACCTTTATTTTCTGTTGTTAAATGGAAGTACTTATTAGAAAGATTTTTTGGTAAGATTTTATTTATTTATTCATGAGAGACACACAGAGAGAGGCAGAGACATAGGCAGAGGGAGAAGCAGGCTCCCCACTGAGCAGGGAGCCTGATGCGGGACTTGATCCCGGGACCCCGGGTTGAGGACATGAGCCAAAGACAGACACTCAACCACTGAGCCACCCAGGCATCCCTTTTTAGAAGTTTGCTTCCTTCCTTCCTTCCTTCCTTCTTTCCTTCCTTCCTTCCTTCCTTCCTTCTTTCCTTTTCTCCTTCCTGTGATTTTTTTTTTCTCTTTAAAAAGACACTTTATTATATCCACAGGCGGTAAAATCCCAGAGCTACTGTTAGGCACGTGAATACAGTCCCTGCTAAATATTTAATGTTATCAAGCTTGTGTGACTCCAGCATGGTTTTGAGGCCAGCAACCTCAGTGTCTATCTTCCTGTCTGTCTGGGTGACAGCCCGATCTTGCTGGGCATGCAATGCCACCATTTCTGTCCTCATTTCCAGCAGCTTCCTTTCATTCAACGAGTACAATTCCTTCACTCTGCTCTTTTCTAGATTGAAGTCTAACTTGGCATCTGTTCGGACTTTGATCACTTCATCCATTATTTGTTGTTTTAATCGATGTAGTTCCACGTTTGTCTTCTCATTTTCTGCTCTGAGGGCTGAAAATCCCCTCTTCTCCAAAATAATCATATCTTTTTTCACATTAGCAATCTGAGACATTATTTGCTGAACAGTGACCTCCTGCTGCATTTTGGTGACCATATCCTTGTAGACGATATCCATGTTGGCATCCGTGATCTTGACCAATGCAGAGACAGTGATTTCATCTTTACTTTTTCTTTTCTTCCATATGAAAACATTTACCATGTCACTTAATATATTTAAATTATACTGGTGAACAATATATGACCCATTTTGTCATGTAAACTGTAGTCTAAGTTCTTTGGTTCCTTTTTATATTTATCTTAGATCACTTTCAAGTTTTAAAGCATATCACTTAGTTCTCATTAACATCTACATGTCAAGAACAAGTACCTTGCACTTATGGTCCAGGTAAACTTGGCTTAAAATTCCAGTTGCAACATAAGTCTAATATAATTCCCGAACAAAGTCTGTATATCCTAGGAACTTTATTTTTCACTACTCGTCTCTGGCTCAGTCTTTTTAGAGAACAGATATATATATTGAAATATCATCTGTAAAATTACAAAATGGTTAAAATAAATTTCCATCATTTAAGGAACAGTTTACAAAATTGTGCTTCACCCATACAATGAAATACCCAAGCAGTTATTCAAAAAATTAAGTGTATCTTGCACAGGTAGGTGAGTAGATGTGTATATATTATGAAAATAGTTTATGATACATTATTTCTGTATACCTAAAACAAAATTCTAAAAGTTATAAACTAAACTGTACTCAACAGGGGTTTCAGGAGAGTGGGATTGGGCAGAAGATAAGCAAAAAATAAGAGCCTTTCACTCTTCATAGCCACACCTATTTGTATTTAATTATTTATAATGAACAATATTTCATAATGAAAACATATATAAGAATGGACCAAAAGGCCATCTAGTTGATTTAACCTGATTGTAAAAGTATATTTCATTTATTAGATTTTCACATAGTGGTTCTTTTCCTGCACAAGGTAGTTTTGTAGTTTGGGGATAGTTTTCACATATTAGAGAAATTTTAAACACTTCTACCAAATTTCATGTCAACCATTCAAAATTACAGATGTGCAACAACAAATGTTGGAGAGGATGTGGAGAAAGGGGAACCCTCTTGCACTGTTGGTGGGAATGTGAACTGGTGCAGCCACTCTGGAAAACTTTGTGGAGGTTCCTCAAAGAGTTAAAAATAGATCTGCCCTACGACCCAGCAATTGCACTGCTGGGGATTTACCCCAAAGATACTGATATAGTTAAACACCAGGACACTTGAACCCCAATGTCCATAGCAGCAATGTCCACAATAGCCAAACTGTGGAAGAAGCCATGATGTCCTTCAACAGATGAATGGATAAAGAAGATGTGATATATATACATATATATATAGTAACCACCATTTGCTTCGAGGTGGATGGAACTAGAGGGTATTATGCTAAGTGAAGTAAGTCAATCAGAGGACAATAATCATATGGTTTCACTCATACAAGGAATATAAGAAATAGTGAAAGGGACTATCAAGGAAAGGAAGGAAACGGAGTGGGGAAAAATCAGAGGGAGACAAACCATGAGAGACTCCTAACTCTGGGAAACAAAGGATTACAGAAGGGGAGGAGAATGGGGGGAAACGGTGGCTGGGTGATAGGCACTAAGGAGGGCACCTCACGGATGAGCCCTGGGTATTATATTGTATAATAATAATTGAATTATTATAATTGAATTAATTATATAATAATTAAATTTAAATAAAAGAATTTTTTAAAAAATTAAAAAATAAATAAAAATAAAAACAAACTTTTCCGAGTCCTGAACTTGTAATGGTCAGGAACAAAACGAACTTCAAAAAAATTATTTTCAAAAAAAGAACTTCAAAAAGAACTAATAAAATGTTCAGAGCTTCTGAAAAAAAACAAAACAAAAGAAAATTACAAATGTGGGAAGTTTTAGTAGCTATTTCTAGACAGCAAATTAACAGAAGTCAAATACTTAAAGTTAGGACAAATTCGGTTCTATGAAAGTTCTTCAAATTCCTGCATGTAAGAAACAAAGGACTATGAAAAGTAATGGTATTGACTTAAAAATGAGTTTCAATTGTTCTGTCAACAAAGGATAAGGGACTAATGGTCACTTACGTGTTCTGAAATAAGAATGCTAGTATGTAGCTCAGCTAATGTTTAGAAGAAATAGAACAAAAGGTTATAAATAGTTGAGGCCAATAAATCTTCGTCACTAAAATTGTTTTTGAGTAAGGAAAGGTAATGCTGCTTTACAACACTAGGGATGATCCCCTGCTGTCCAAGAGAAGCTATTAAAATGAGTAATTGCAGAAATCAATGGAAAAGGACAGTTTGGGATCATTGCTTGAATTCTAAAAACCCAGTGAACAAACAAATAAGGGAAACATTTTGTATAATATTTTCAGCTCTCTTGTATGAAACGGCTGAAAAGTTAGAGAAAAGAAACCTCGAGAACTGGATAGCTTCAAGACTAAACTAACGCTGGATAGCAGTGTCACTTGGGGCAGCTGTCTTGTTTTATTTTCCATTTTTATTCTCTGTAAGAGCAAACAGAAATAAATTCTAACAAAACTCAGAAAATCAACACACATGCACAAAAACACACACACATGCACAAAGGTTATATTGGACAACTAAGCTGGGGCACCAAACAAACAGAAAACCTATCAAAAAATATATTTGAATACCTATTTCCTATATATCTAGAACTTTTGCTACACATGTTTGAGAATGCCTAAAAGTCAGAAATCCCTCCAAGGATTTCTTTGCCTGATGATACCATTCTTCATTTGAAGGCAGATGCCGAATATACACATCCTGACGTAAGCAGCACATGAAATTTACCATAACTTATCACCTGAACTATTATGATAACAGCAAAAATATAATCAATAGTTTTAATCTTTATAAGAGATACAATTCTGGAAATATTAGGTACAGAGGAAGACAAATAGACACTTAGGAGTTTAGCTACATCTGGGAAATATAGACTATAGTACATATTATAACGCTCTTGACTGTTTTCTTTCTTTTAAACCTTCAATCATTGGTTCTCAACTAGGTGATTTCACCCCCACTCCTCAGAGAGACACGTGGCAATGCCTGGTGAAATTTTTTGTCCCCAGGAACTCACACTGGAGGGCGGGGAGGAGGATGCTGCTCTAGTGGCTAGAGGCCAGAGATGCTGCTAAACATCAAACAGCTCACAGGACAGCTCACACAACAAAGAATTACCTGGTTCAAAATGACCATAGTGCTGAGGTTCACAAACATTGCTTTGAATTAAACTCAACATGCCTGTGCCCATAGTCTTTAGAACAAAGGAAAGAATTCCTGTACTACTCTGGGCTTCATATCAGAAATCTTCAAGTGCATCTGCCTTTCACTGCTTTGCACACCTTCACTTTTCCACTCCACTTACTTCCTTTCTTATTTAACTTTACATTTCAGGTCTTCACTTCTATAACATTCAGATTTGGGATCTAATTCCAAACTGCTTCTTCTGCCATGGAATATACTTACAAAGTTGTTAGTTGTCGTTGGGTTTGTTTGTTTGTTTGTTTGTTTGTTTTGTTTCCTGATACCCATCCTTGTGTTGTAGATTTCAATCTCAAGCAAGAGATATTCTACTTCCATATTCCAGGCCTCCAGATCAGTCTAGCCCTGCTCAAACTGCAAGTAACAGTAGAATATGGAATATTCTGCAAGCCCGAAAAACATTACGAACAACCAACATCTCCAAGGAACTCAAAAAGTTGGATTTCATTGGAGTGGACAGGAAGGATAGAACAAGAATTAAGCCATACACATTTACTCAGCATAATAAATCAATCAAACCAATAAAGCAGAAATCCGTTATTATGCTGAAATAGGGATACAGGAATAATATCTCTCTTGGCAAGGTAACCATATTATAAGACACTTTTACTACACAAAAGCATCTTATTTGGAAATAAGTCTTGGCCTATGATTTATCTATTGGTGTGTAATGCCAAACTTTTATTCTTTTATGATTTTCTTTATTTATTTGACAGAGAGAGAGAAGAGCACAAGCAGCGGGAGCACCAGGCAGAGCTAGAGGGAAAGAGAGATGGAGATGCCCCACAGGGCAAAGAGCCCAATGCAGGCTAGATCCCAGGACTCTGGGATCATGACCTGGTCCAAAGCAGACACTTAACCAACTGAGCCACCCAGGCTCCCCTGTTATGACAAGCTTTTAAAATAGGTTTTCATTATGTTACTAGAACACAGGATGTACTACCACTGAGGCCCAAAAGACGATAGTCACGATTCATAAGCATGTCAGGAAAATCCCACACAAGAAAAGCAGAAAGTTGAGTCTTTTGGAAATAGGCAGAAAAAGACATTCAGTTGTCTGTACTGAAGAATCTTTCATCTTTTCAGAAATGGCTTAAGTTCTGTGGGAAGATTATTGACAAAGCTGTTCTAAGGAAGATAATAGGTGTTTTAGTGGAAAATGTGTCTCCCATTATCATGATTTTCCTAACCCCAAGTTCCTAATCAAAGTTTAATTGAGGGTTGCTATGGAGAATCCTTATAAGTAAATGTCAATTCACATTAGAACCAACAAAAATATTGATCATGCCAACGTTATAGAATGTATTACACTGTATGATGTAAACTTGACGTCAGCTTCCCAACACCTCTCAGGCTTTAAAGATTAAGTCTCTATTTCTAGCAGAAGGAAAGATTTTTGTAAAATGGCCACTCATTAATCTAACAAGTTAAAACTGTGTTTTTTGTTTCTGTTTTGAAGATTTTATTTATTCATTCATGAGAGACATACAGAGAAAGGCAGAGATATAGGCAGAGGGAGAGGCAGGCTCTCCATGCGGAGCCTGATGCAAAACTCAATCCCTGGACTCCTGTATCAGGACTTGAACTAAAGGCAGAAGCTCAGCCACTGAGCCATCCAGGTGCCCCTAAAACTGGGTTGTTTTCTATGCATTGCCCAGATTATACATCTTTACTCTGAACTCATTGTGGTCACTTGGAATTCCTAAACTAATCTCCTGATTGCCCAAAAAAGCATCAGTGGAGTTGGTATAAGGTAAAAAAAAAAAAAAAAAAAAAAAAAATTCCCCTCTAGATATGCATGAATTAGGACCTTTGCAACTTGAATGCACAAGATTGCACTGGTTTTTACAGAATTTACTGGAGGTTTGAGATGGGGAAATGATCAACTCAATCTTTGAGGGAGATGATGGACATTCATCTAGGACAGAAAAATACAACATTAGGGATGCCTGGATGGCTTAGTGAATGAGTGTCTGCCTTTAGTTTAGGGCGTGGTCCTGGTCTGGGAATGAAGTCCCATATGGGGCTCCCTGCGAGGAGCCTGCCTCTCCCTCTGTGTCTCTGCCTCTCTCCCTTTGTCTCTCATGAATAAGTAAATAAAATCATAAAAAAAAAAAGAAAAATACAACATTAATTCTGACCAGGAGTATAGATAGACTGGGAAAGTACACACTACCCTAGGGAACATAAGAGAATCTATTCTGAAAAGCAATGTTACTTATATTAGAATGTCCCCCTATCTATGATAAAGCATAACCATCTCCCCACACATTGTAATACTGTCATAGTCTAGACTATTTTGAAAGCTTGTTTCAAGAATTTATAGAGATACCTGAAATTGGTATTTAGGTCATATTCACTCATTCATTCATTCAACAAATCTATACGGCAGACACCTTGCCAGATACTAGGCACAAGGAAATAAACAAATAGACTGGATTAAGACTTCATGGAGCTTAGAGTACACAGAGGGAGAGAGAAAATGACTCAACAGGTAAGTATTTTAGGTTAGACTATATGAAACTACCAATAATTCACTGTTTTTAGCCAACAGGAATAGCAATGTAATATGGGTCAACTTAATATAATGACATATTATGATAACCTACATTAAGAAAAATGGGGGGGGGGGCAAACAGAGTCTGTACTAATGGAACCTCATCTATTCTGGGTGACAGAGAAAGTTTCCTTGAGAAAATGAAGCTCAAACTAAGATCCGAATGTTAAGTGGGCTTAACTAGTTGAAGTGAGTGGGTTATGAGTGTTGAAGACCAAGTGAGGGGCAGCCCTGGTGGCACAGCGGTTTAGCACCCCCTGCAGCCCAGGGTGTGATCCTGGAGACCTGGGATCGAGTCCCACGTTGGGCTCCCTGCATGGAGCCTGCTTCTCCCTCTGCATCTCTCTCTGTGTCTCTATGAATGGATAAATAAAATTAAAAAAAAAAAATGAAGACCAAGTGAGGTCAGCATGATATAGGAAGAACTCTCATCCCCCAGCTCTATCTTTTCTGGTAGAAAAGAGCATGCCAGGGACACCTGGGTGGCTCAGCAGTTGAGCTTCTGCCTTTGGCTCAGGGTGTGATCCTGGGGTCCTAGGATCCAGTCCCCCAACAGGCTCCCTGTAGGGAGCCTGCTTCTCCCTCTGCCTGTGTCTCTGCCTCTCTGTGTGTGTCTCTCATGAATAAATAAATAAAATCTTTAAAAAAGACAAGGAAAACAGCATGCCAGGTTGATAGGCTAAAGAACTCTGAGGACAGCATCTGGTAGCAAAGGATACCTAACAATGGCCCTAAAGAACAAGAGCAACGAGAACCTTGATTCGAAACAAGGTGTAATATCTACACACACTTACAAGCAGCAAGTAATGCAGAACCAATAGGACTCAAAAAAAAAAAAAAAAAGCCCCAGAATTGACAGGTCATTTCAATGGCTTTGAGAGAAGAAGTTTCCTTCCTTTCAGTGACTATCAAAAAAATCTGATTAAACTCCAGCTAATCCAATTTACAACATGTTGTTCACATGAGAAGAGTCTGTAGATAGGTCTTGGGTTTTTGTGTGTGTGTGTGGTTTTTTTTTAAGCTCATATTACCTTCATTTGTCATCTTGACAGGATATTTTGTATTTAATATCTAACAGTAAGAGAGGGGACCAACATTTAATTGTCAAACATTTTCTGTCAAAAGATTGTTTGGGAAAGTGTGCAGTGGTTCCATTTTCATGACAGAAGAAACTCTTATTTTGGTGTGACTCTTTTTTCCCTTTGATCTCCTTCTTCAGCAGAGGAATTTATTTTTCCCTGGTAAAGATAACCATTTTGTTTCTTACAAAGAAGAATTCAGTATCAGGTATGGTCAATATTGTAATTAGAGAAATCACATAAAAGTTGAAGTACTAAAAAGATCTTGTTACAAACTAGTCTCTGCAACAGAAATACAGGGTGGTCCCAGTGCCAGTGGTGATTCCACATGAAAAGATTGGTCAAAAGAGCATTCCTGAACATGCTCCCATTGACATAATTTATTACTAGCTAGTAATGACAGCCATCTAACCTCTTGACAGTTTAGAATTTCTAGTGGCACATATACTCAGATGCGAATTGTGGGATACCTGGGTGGCTCAGCAGTTGAGCATCTGCCTTTGGCTCAGGTCGTGATCCCAGGGTCCTGGGATCGAGTTCCGCATCAAGCTCCTTGCATTGAGCCTGCTTGTCCCTCTGCCTGTGTCTCTGCCTCTCTCTCTCTCTCTCTCTCTCTCTCTCTCTCTCGCTGTATCTGTCATGAATAAGTAAATAAATCTTAAAAAAAAAAAGCATTCAGATGTGAATTGTATACTACTTTGGACCACGTTTCTAGATATTTCCTTCAACCAGGAATATTTAACATCCACACACAATCAATAACAGAAACATTTATTATGAATGTCATACAATGGACTTTAAATTTATATTACATTTATTCCTCAAAATAACCTTATGAGGTAGATGTTTTATCCCGGTTTCACAAATGATAATGAAGGTTAGAGAAGTTCAGACAACTGACCAAGTTAAAACAAGCCAGTGTCTGACCCAGGATGTAAATCCAGATGCAGCTTTCTCTAATAAGCCATATAGCTCAAAGCACACTAGTCCAATATAGTGTAGTAGAGTAACTTCCATTGCTTAGACTTAGGCTTCAGAGAACAGAGATATATAAGTGATCAAAAGTCACCATCTTCTATGGCCATGAACTATCTTCAGTCAGCACATTCCTCCAGGTCTTCTTCTGGTTTATGATCAGAGACCTTAAAGGCACCACCAAACAATACAGTTATACAGAATACATATGCTAAAGCTCACTCTTGGGACACCTGGGTGGCTGAGTCATTGAGCATCTGCCTTCTGCTCAGGGCATGATCCCAGGGTCCTGGGATTGAGTCCCGCATCCGGCTCTGCACAGG